GTGACTTTTAAGGTGGAACGTTTACTTGTAATGTTACTCAATGCATGAGTTGACAATGGAAATCCATCAGCACACCTTAAATTTCAATATGACAACTTTGACCGTTCCATCAGTTTTTCTTGTCTCTCTTGGATGACAGACACTTTTAGTAATGAGTGGATCTTCAAGTGTTTAAAAATATATATTAAGTTCTACTGGATTACGTGAACTGCATATATTCTAATTCTAATCTACTCAGAGACAAAAAAAAGTGTAGTGAGGCGTCGTTCCTGTGGGCTCCAGCAACACTAAACCCCTGAGCTTGCCTTCACCTTTCACCTTTGTTCCAAAGGTACCACACCGAAAGTATTTGGTGGAAACGGGACTTAAGTGTGCTGATCTGGCAGGGACTCAGAGCAAGAGAGTAGTCCAGGATCAGAACCCGGCGCTCTGTCTTGCTCTGGTTGAATTTAAGTTGCTACAGGGCACTGCGTAAGGTCTATCTTTACCAGGCTGCTGCTGCAAAATGGAAAAGTGACAACAATCCCGCCCACATTTAAGAGTACCATTTGCGGTGGAAACGCTAAACGGATCTAGGGTCTAGGTACCATGTCTGAAAGGTTACTCTTAGTTCCAAAGGTACCATACCAAAAGTGTTTGGTGGAAAAGCAGCCTTACAGGCTAATAAATGCTTGTCGTATTTATTCAACTCTTTTGTGTCCCACAGGTTCAGGTGTCCTGGTCCAGGTGTGTTCCAGTGTGATTTGACAGGACTGGTGTTTGTTATGGCTCAGGAGGCGGAGCTGCTGTACAGGACTGTCCAATGGGATGAGAGCCTCCTCCAGCCAGCTGGCAAGACGGCTGCAGGGCCGCTGTTTGAAATCAAGTGTTCTGAGGCTGCTGCCGTCTGTCAGCTCCACCTCCCGCACTGTGAAACAAAGGATGGTAAAGACATGGCTGTATACATAGATAGACAGATGATAAATAGGATAGAGGTGAACCCGCACATCCTTTGGAGGCTCCAGAGTTAATAACAAAAGATTGATTTCAACTTGGAACTCAAGTGGAAATTAATTAGGTTGGCCTTAACCTGTTCTTTGCTTTCACAGCGTTGCTCACTGATGGCCTGTTGTCTGTTGTCCACGTCACTGACGATGGAATGAGCATCTTGGAGCCACTGGAGATTACAGACACTCATGTGGTTGTGAAGGTCCCAAACCTCTCTGCCTTCGGTCTGGTCTGGGATTACATCACAAGGTTTCTGAACATCTCACTGCCAATAAATGGCCAAGTTCTGCTGTTCCTCCGACCTCCGTACTTAGGGCATCGAGTACTGGATGTATTTCTGCTGCAGGACAACATCCCTCTACAGGAGGTAAAGCTATTTGTCATATGTGCTCACCATCAGCCCAAACTTGAGCTCCTTTTATTGAACCTTTTTATGCTGATTTAAAAATCTAAATCAATCCGAACTGTAAATCTTCAGTTTATGCTTTCATTTTTAGTTTTTCTTTTTCTGTATTTCCGTCTGCCACTGTCATTCTTGATACTTCTTACTATTTATTCAATGTTTTCTTTTAAATTACTTACAGTATATCTTCGTAATTATGCTTTTAATTGACTGTAATTCTCACCTGTGTAAAGCATATCAGTCAGCATTTGTTATTTTTCCATCCATGCATCCATCCATCATCCATCCATCATCCATCCATCCATCCATCCATCCATCCATCCATCCATCCATCCAGGGGTATTCTTCCCAATCACCCCCCTCCAGGTTTATCTAACATTGCCCACGTGAGTACCTCAGTAGAACTATAGAGTCCCAAGATGGTATCTCTCCCAGTCACTCACTCCACTCAGAGACTTCAAGATGGCCAGGTACTCTGAACTGCTGTCTGGTGCACCACACAACAGCCAAAATCCCACACAGGTGCACCCAGCCGGGAACTTTTGAGTTTCCCCACACCTGTCCAGCCCCTCTCCAGGAGTTCAGGTCCAGTACCAGTGCTTTGTGTGAAGGTGAAACTAACCATAATTAGTTGGTACCGCTTCACCTCCCGCACCAGCTCCAGTTCCTTACCTGCCAGAGAGATGAGTTTCATATCCATAGAGTCAGTCTAAGATGCCAGGGGTCACTACGCCAAGGCTCCTGCCTTTGCCTACCATCCAACGTGCCTATTCTCTCGAGTGGTGGGCCCACAGGGCAGCGACTCCATGTAGACCAGACACACACTGGTGAGCTGCTCCCCTTCCAGGTCTGGCTCCAGGAGGGGGCCCCAGTGCTCCTTTTTTGCCGATTCATATGGGGTCTTTAAAGCACTCTTAGTCTGACACCTCCCCTGGGACCACTTTGCTTTGGGAGACCCTACCAGGAGCCTCTGTCCTGACCTCACAGCTCCCACAGGATCACAGCGACACACAAACCCCTCCACCATGATGAGGTGGCATTTCTTGGATAGAGTGTTCTTAAATGCTCTCTGTAAAAAGAATTGTCCTGACTATCTGAGCATGAACTAAACTTATAATAATGTCCTTTTACTGAAGGTTATGGACCAACAAGGAGGTGCTGAGCATATCAAGATCTCCTCCAACTGTCATCTCAGCTTTGGTCAAAGTTACAGTGTCCACTGTGAACCTGAGGGCTTCACAATACAGCCTGAGGTAAGTCAGGTCTCTTGTGCACTCCCAATGCTTTGAAACAGAATGATCATGAATACAGTATTTGGGCCGCATTTTTAAAACAGAACGAAAATGACGCGTTGCTTCTGGTTTTCAGCATGAAGCGTTTCAGTCAAGGCATGGACCAAATTTTCATCCAACATTTGAAGTTTTCCTGACGACAAACACAGACAGAGTGACTTTGATGGTGCAGGACCATGAGCGGAAAGAGGTCTGGAGACGTCACGTTTTACTGACAGGTAGACTTCACTGTTCTGCAGCAGCCCTTCAACTGATGTCAGAGGTTACACCCCAGCGATAGACCAGATTAGAAAAGATATGTGTAAGTTTCATGCACATTCAGGGACCTCCATATTTGCTTCATCTCATATTATTCTTTATTTAGCCAGTTGACATTGGGCAAGAGGTGGGGTACACCCTGGACAGGTCACCAGACTATCACAGGGCTGACACATAGAGACAGACAACCATTCACACTCACATTCACACCTACGGAC